TAGCAGGCTCAGTCTCCAGAAGGCAACAGTATGAGATGTTTTCTATGCAGCTGCTCACTGTGGGGTCATGGGACATTTTTGATCACTGACACTGGACTTCTTTTTACTATTGTAATATTGAGATTCCTCCTGAAGCATTTTTTTTTTTTTTTGAGTTGGAGTCTCACTCTGTCACCCAGACTGGAGTGCAGTGGCTGCTCCCAGCCACCACAGCCTCGACCTGCTGGGCTCCAGCAATCCTTCCACCTCACTCTTCCAAGTAGCTGGAACTACAGGTGTGCACTACCACGCCCGGCTCATTTTGATTTATTGTAGAGATGAGGTCTCGCCAAGTTGCCCAGGTGTGGGTCTCGAACCCGCGGGCTCAGGCAATCCACTCACCTCAGCCTCCCAAAGGCGCGGGATTACAGGCTGAGCCACCAAGCCTGGCTCTGAAGCATTTTTAAATTTTTTTTTTTTTTGAGTTGGAATCTCACTCTGTTGCCCAAACTGGAGTGCAGTGGCCGCTTCTGGCCACCACAGCCTCGACCTGCTGGGCTCCGGCGATCCTTCTGCCTCAGCCTTCTGAGTAGCCGGAATTACAGGCGCGCACTACCACGCCCGGCTAATTTTTTGATTTATTGTAGAGATGAGGTCTCGCCTGCCCAGGTGGGTCTCGAACCCGCGGGCTCAGGCAATCCACTCTCCTCAGCCTCCCAAAGGTGTGGGATTACAGGCTGAGCCACCGAGCCTGGCTCTGAAGCATTTTTTTAAAAGTCTGTTTTGCTAACAGCTTGCAATGCTTCCTTTTAAGGTAAAATGATTTTAGTGAAAATAATGGAATCATCTGAAAGAGAAGTTGTAAATCATGCTGAAGGCATAAAGGGAAATGGCAGAGACCACCAAGAGGGTTCGTGAATGACTGCAGCTTGGGCACATTGGACCAAGTGATTTCCAAGGCCCCTGCCCGCTTCCGTGATACTCTTTTTGTCCAGGAAAACTTTTCTTTTTCTTCTTACCTGTTCCTCAGCCCCACATTCTCTGACCAGGGCCGAGTGTATACAGTAATCCTCTCTCGGCCGGTGGCACAAAAAACAGCCAATGGACTGAGGGTGGCATCTGAACACCCGCGGGAATGGCTCCTGCTTCTTCTCCCCATGGTGAGGTCTAGTTTCAGCCTGAGCTGGACTCCCCACAACGCATCACTCAGATTAGTTTTCAGCGGCGGTGTAGCAACAAGGCCAGTTCTCATAACAAGGTAAACATTGTTTAAGTTATTAAATGTTTGTGTTATGACAAGGATACAGACCACAGCATTGAGTTAAGACTTTCAAATCATGTCTTTATTTAGGTACAAACCACTGTTGCAAAAAAGGTATCATGGCAACTTACAAAAATAAAGTACAATAGAATAGAAATAAAAGGGGCAGGGTAAAGGTAAAAGCAGAACGCTAGAATGAAGCAAATCCAGGAGACTCATACAATTGTTAAAAAGATCTCAAATTTGAGCTTCCCAGCGGCCAAAACAAAAAATAAAACATGACTGGTTACAAGATTCCTAACAAGTTAGTTTGTGTTGTTGGTATAAAAACAGACCTGGTTCAAATCTGGACTCTGCTACCTGTTAGAGACGTGACCCTGAGCAGTTGCTTAACCTCTTGGAACTTGAGGCCCTTTACCTGTAGTGGGGAAAAATAATGCTGACCTTGGTGGCTTCATGGCAATGTACATCAAGCTCCAGGAGGAGCTGCTTGGGCCTCTCAGCCCTTGCCCTCACTGTGAGAGGGAACAGCCGTGTCCTGCAGGTGAAAGAACTGGCCCAAAGTGCAGCACGAATGAGGTGGGGCTGGACTCCAACAGGGACTCCCTAACTCCATCCAGGGCTCTCTCACAGCCAGCCAGCGCCATGTCCTTCTGTCACCACAGTGGTTTCCAATGCTGTCACTGAGGAAAAGACGCTTTGGAACACATGGGCTTTTGGGAGCCCTCAGATCATTCCCAGGAAATTCCCCCAGCCTCCCCTTGAGCACATCCCCCAAGGCAGAAGCGCCCTTCTTTCCTTCCCAGATTAAATGTAAGGCCTGGAAATCTCTAGGGAGGAGTCAAAAGGAGCAGCCAAAGCCCCTGCGTGTATCATGTTGTTCAGAAATACCAGCGGCAGCTTCCTTTGTCTTCACAGGTGAGTAAGACACACCGGTCCTCCTCCGCCCAGGCCCTTCCTTGTTTGAAGTACCTTTTGCCAAATGTAACAAAGCCCAAGATAGGTTTTAAAAAAAACGTTGATGGGGTGAGCTTTGCAGTTGTGAGCTGGCTCTAGCTCCCCACAACAAAAACCTTTCCCTGCTCTCGTCACCCAGAGGACAAAATCCAGCTGTCTTAGAGTGTTCTTTTCTGTTTATACTCAATTTTGCTCTAAACATAACCGGAAGTGTCCACTCCTTGGCTTGGCATTCAAGGCTTTTTACGAGCTGGCCCCAGCCTCCTCCTTGGGGCTTCTCTGTGGATATAGTATGAAGTCTGGCCACAGTGGATAAAAACAACAGCCATCGTTTCTGGAGCTACTGCTGGAGTGGCAGGCAGTTAGCAAAGAACATGTACCGACCAGCCCTGGAATTTCATGTATGCCACAGAGTAAGCTGTGGTGTGAGCCTGGGTAAATCCCTTCTCCTCAGTCTCCTCATCTGTAAAATGGGCACATTCAGGACACATTCCTTTTGCTGCTGTGCTTGGCACACTGCCGGTACTCATTAATGATGATGGTTTTACTACCAGATTTTTAAACTTGACTTTCCACTTTATTGCCTATGTGACAAGTGACTTACTGCTCTGGGTTCCAGTGTGACCATGTGTAAAATGAGCAAAATAGCTGTACCCATCACAGACCCATAACCCTCATTCAAGGGCCTGAAAACAGAAGGGGCCTAGTGACTGTTTGGGGGCTGTGGCCAGCATCATCCCCCTACAACACAATGCTACTTGTCTTTTAATTTTTTTTTCTTATTTTTTGAGTTGGAGTCTCACTCTGTCACTCAGGCTGGAGTGCAGTGGCACACTCCCAGCCGCCACAGCCTCGACCTGCTGGGCTCCGGCGATCCTTCCGCCTCAGCCTTCCAAGTAGCTGGAACTACAGGTGCACGCTGCCGCGCCCGGCTATTTTTTTTTTTTTTTAATTGTAGAGATGAGGTCTCGCCAAGTTGCCCAGGTGGGTCTTGAACCCACGGGCTCAGGCAATTTATTCACCTCGGCCTCCCAAAGCACGTGATTACAGGCTGAGCCACTGAGCCCAGCTGTCCTCTAATTTCTAAAAATCAGCCTATTCTAACTTTCCCTTTTCTCAGACTAATGAAGAAGACGGGGCCTTCTCCTTCTTCTCACATGGTTGGACTATGATGTCACAAAAGACACAGGCTTGTGAAACCCACACCCAGGGCCAGGGGAAAGGCTGGGGCCTCGCAGCCCCTTGGAGTCTGTAAGTGGAGCCTGCTGCGGCTGGCTGACTGGGGAGGCGGGATGCATCCACCGTGTGAGTCAGGCCTGGCTCGGCGGAGTGCCGTCATTCCCCTTTATTTCAGGGGTGAGTTACAGCTTACACAAACATCACCTGATCATGCCTGAAAGCGATGTGTTCTGTGCAAAATGCATTTCCTTATATTCTGGGTTGTGCAGCTGAATTTCCTAACATGGCAACTGGTATTTAAATATACAAATATTTGGGGAGCTGGCATGAGGGCAGGGTGGGGGCAGTAGGGGCCAGGGGTTGTATAGGAATGAGCAGTAAAATCTCCTCCCAGGTGGTGGGATGGCCGTGGTGCTGGTCTGCCTACTGTATTCCCAGGCAAGGCTCCCTCTATGCTGGGAGAATAAAGCTGTGCCCTGCTCCCAGTGTGACACTGAGCTGCCCTTTAAGCCTTTCTGGCCCTATTTTCTCTTTGATGAAACAAGGAGTTGGGCTAGAGAATTTTCCAGCTCTAAGAATAGCATCCAAAGCAGAAGAGGGCAGTTCTCAAGGGCTTGTCCTCTGGGCTGCTTGGGTCTAGGCTCCGGGGAGCCACCGGGGGCCCAAGGTGAGGTGCCCCAGTTGTATATACTCACCCAAGTCCATCCTGGCACCAATATCTCTGAAGCCAGGAAAGGTCTCGTCTGCAGATCCCTGGGCTTTCCCTTCCTTGCTTCTGCCTTCTGGCTCTTCCCTGAAACCAAAGCCCAATGCCTCCCCTAGACCTGACTGCTTAGACCCCCGTCTTCCCCAGTCCCCAGACTGCTGGGCTAGCCTGCCCAGTGACCAGGTCAGGAGCGACAAGGAAGAGGGAACTTTTTCCATCCTGGCACCACCCCAGCCTAGGCCTAGGGTCCTGTTCATGGCAGAGCTGGAAGTATCCCTGAGTACATATAGCTTGTGGGTTTGAAGGCCCAGAGAGAAAGGTCAGAGGGGACCCCAGGCCCAAAGCCTCTGGGAGGGACGGAGGAGGGGACACAGGCCTGGGTATGTGGCCAACACCAGTGCTTCTGGGTGGAGAGGGAGCCTGGGCTCGGCTCCCCGCCCTTGTAGAGTTGCTGCTGGCAGCAGCTGCCTGCTGCCTTCTCAGCTGCTGCAGAAACAAATGACGGCACTGATGAAGAGCAAGAGAAAATAAAAATGAGCACAGAACAGAGGGGGACCTTGGAATAGGGGCCAGTATTTTCTCTCTGGGTGTGGTTTCTGCTCAGTGGCTAGGTGACGGTAGAGGTTTGGAATGTGGCCGGACAGCGGGTGGGGTGCATTGGGGGGCTGGCCAAGGGCAAGAGGCAGGGACATTGGCCAAGGGGCCCGAAGCCCTGGCCACCAACAGCTCAGCCGGAACAGGGGCCTGGGGTGGCAGGCAGAGCCGGGACCTCCACCCAACACTGGCACATTGGCCCCAAAGGCCTCTGGTTCTGAGTGGCCCTGGGAAGGGAGACAGAGTCAAGAGAACATGGGCGACCAGAGGAGAGGGGAGAGGGCTGGAGCGGGGAGAGCACAGAAAGCCTCCTCATCTATAAAATGAGAGCACAGCCTGCCTGATCCCCATTGAGGCGTTAGGCAAGGGACACTGCCTCTCTGGGTCTCGGTCTCCACATCTGCTAAATGGGCTTCAGGACCTCTTCCTCCAAGGGAGGTGCTGGGAGAGTTAAATGGGTAAGTGTGTGGAAAGCGCCTGGCACAGTGCTCTGCAAGTGGGTGCTGAGGAAGCTCGACCCTGGTTACCACCTCACGCCTGGCCCTGGGCCCCGGGCTGGCCCCAATAAATAGGTACTGATTGGGTCAGTTGCAGGCATTGCTGTGGGGAGGCCCTTCCCCACTGCTGCCCCTCTCCGGGGAACACAGGTTTCCATCAGACCACAAAATGGAGGGTGTAGGTGAGCTGGTGGCCATTGTCCCAGGCGTATAGCACCCGCTCTTTGGGGTTGTAGTCAATCTGGGTGGTGTAGGAGTACTCATTGATAAACGAAAGCTGGGGGCGAGCATCGGTGCCTGTGTGGGTATCAAAGGCGTAGGCGACCTGGCCTTCGTACTGGTTGTACGTGTCCACAGCGTACAGGATGCCACACACCAGGAAGCAGTTCCCATAGGAGTTCCGCCGCAGCCTCGTCTTCCACGTGGTTTCCCGGTGTACAGAGAGGTCACCCGGGTCCAGGCGGCTCAGCACGATCACCTCTGGCTGGGCCTCATCGCGGTCATCCATGGCGGGGTAGATGACCCACAGGCCGCTCTCGTCCACGGCAAAGTCGATGTCTGAGTGACCGCGCCACTTCCAGGGTGTGGTGTCCTCATATACCACGTCGGGCAGCAGCGCCCAGGAGGCCACAAAGCGCTGGCGCAGGTCGTACTTGATGATGTTCTTGGTGAAGGCGCGGTTGTAGTAGAAAGCACCCCGGTATACCACGTGGCCCGTGCCAATCCAGTTGTAGGGCAGCTTGTACATGTTGCTCCAGCGGCCTGCACGTGGAGGGCGATGGTCACACCAGGGCTTCCTGAGCAACCCCGGCCCCATCCCACATGCCCTGAGATGACCAAGGGCTCTCACGTGGCTCAGTAAGCAACTGATACCGAGTGCACACGATGTGCCCAGAGCTGGGCCCATCATCTGATCTCATCATCACAGTTCCCTGAAGGAGGTACTCTCATCATCCCATCTGCCTACAAGGAGACAGGCTCAGAGGGCTCTGGGTTACCCAGTCATGGAATGGCATGGCTAGGATTAAATCCAGGGTGACTTCAGCCCTGTGGTTTGTATGTGAGCCTTTGCCCCTGCTTGTTCCTTCGATGCTGTTCACTTCCCATCTGCCCAGGGAGTGTCTGCCTAGCTTTCAGAGCCCGTGGCCAGTGTCACCTCCTCTAGGGAGCCTTCCCTGACCTCCCCAGACTGAGTGAGCAGCCTCTCCTCCTGCTTCCCATAACCCTTTGTCTTGACACAGATCACTGGCTTCCTCTGCCAGCCCTAGAGCTGCTTGAGCAGAATGCAGGCTAATTTTGAGCTGGCAGAGGAAGGACATTGGTTGTTCCGGACCACACTCTTACGACTTCATGAGGCTCTCAGAGTGAGTTCCAATTCCTTGTGGCTCACAAGACCAGCCTACTCTCTCTCCTTCCCCCCACTCCATGCCACCGAGTTTCTGGCCATTGCCAGGCCTTTGCACATGCTGGGCCTTCCGCCTGGAACACCCTTTGCTTTCTCTTCCACATGGCTTACTCCTTCTCTTCCTCCAGGGCTCAGCTTAGCATCACCTTCCCTGGGAAGTCTTCCCTGATCCATAGGCTGGATTTCCACAGCCCCCTGAGCACTCCCTCTTATACTATACTGAAATTTTCTCTTTAAGTTTGTGCCTCCCACACCAGATTGTGTGTTTTTGGAGAGCAGGCTACTTCCAAATGACCCCTTCACCCATCATGCCCCGAATCTGATCACTCAAATTCTGCCCTTCTCTGTACTGACAGCTCCATCCTGGCCCCCGCCCCCTGCAGCTCCTCTAAGGCCTGAGGCCCTGTTCACCTGTAAAACAGGTGATCACTCCACCTCAAGGTGTCATAGATACCATGAGCTGATACCCTTGGGGTGATCACTCCACCTCAAGGTGTCATAGATACCATGAGCTGATACCCTTGGAGTCATCACTCAGCATGACGGTGGACCTTGTGGGGGCAGGACCACGTCCATCTTGTTTGCTGTGGCATTCCTATTTCTGGCACGGTAGTGCCAAGCAGTCAAGCTGCCCAGTCCGGTGCCCCCAGCCTCCCCTCCATGGGGTGGCTGACAGTCTGGAGCTCAGCCAGGCTGTACCAAGGAACCCACAAGGCAAAAGAAGGCCTAGTCTCCCTGGGGTCCCTCCCCAGGCTGCCCACACCCGGCCCTTTTCCCGTCTCCTGACCTTGCTTGAAGTTTTCCAGGTTACGGAACTCTACCAGGCTGTTTCCATAGTAGTAGTTGGTGACATAGATCCTGTCATCCTGAGCCGCAGGGTCCTTCATCCAGGCTCCCTCATGGCGCCCATAGCTGTGGTGCCTCACCGGGGGGTCCACAGCTCGGAGGGTGCCCTCACAGCTTGCCTCTCTGCCTGTTGAGAGCAAGGGGGCATAGCACTGGTAAGCAGACCCCCCGGCCCCAAGTCAAGTAATGGTCCTGGGAATGCCCTCTGGATCTAACTTCAATCCCTCCTGATTGTTGGTGGCCTTTACCCTTTCTCCTCAAAATCAAAGCAATGCCGATCATTATAGAAAACATGGAACATTTAGAAAAGGAGAATGAAGAGAATCAAAATCATTCTAAATTCCATTTTCCATTCTAGGTTAAATCTAAAAATGTTGAACTCACGGAAGCAAAGAGAAGACTGGTGATTAGCAGGGCATGGGAAGATTGGGGAGATGTTGGTTAAGGGATTAAACATTTCAGTTAGACAGGATGAATAAATTCAATATACTGCATGCTTGAAAACTGCTAAGAGAGCAGATTTTAAGTGTTCTTACCACAAAAAATGGTAAGTATATGAGGTAATACAGATATTAATGAGTTTGATTAAGCCATTCCACAATGGACACCTATGTCAAAACCCCATGCAGTACACCAGAATACACACAATTTTTATTTGTCAATTAAAAAATACAAAATTAAAGCTCTACAGTATAAATAAAATAAATAAAAACCGTAAAAAACTTCATTATCCAAAGATAATTCTAACCATGTATTTCCTTCCTTTTCTTTTTTCTTTGCCTGTACAGTCATGTAGATATACTTTAACAAACTGATTCTTCTGAATATACAGTTTTATATATCCTGTTTTTTTCCTCCACTGAGCAATCTCTCACATCATTAAATAGCCTTTTAATGATGTGATTTCAAGGTTCCGCCAGGCCACTGGACAGCTGTGCCCTGAAGTTACTCAGCCAGTCCTCCCAGCGTCAGCCCTTCAAGGTTCTTTCCAGTTTTCTGACATTGGAAATAGTGCCATGATGCAACAACTCAAGCTGCAGCTGTTGTCCACAATGCTGGCAGATCCTTCAGGAAAGATTCCTAGAAGTGGAATGTACTTGGACCAAAGCAGGGACGATTTGAAGGCTCGTCACCCCAGAGAGCCAGGATGCCCTCCAGAAGGAAGGGATTGATGATTTTAATGATGAAGATTTCTACTGTGAGACAAAAGTCAGAACTATAAATGTGGACACAGAAATGGGGCCAAAGACTGGACATATGAAATAAATGAACAAAAATAGTTGATAGACTTGATGGGATTCTAGGTAACACCTTAAGAAGAATTTTTTGCAAATACTACCTGTTTTCCAACCACTTTAAACATTAATACACTTTTTCTGTCAAGGGTCAGACCGTAAATGTGTTAGGCTTTGCAAGCCATGTCCTTTCATCCTACATCCTCTTATTCTTTAACAATTCTTTCAAAATGCAAAAACCATTCTTAGCTTGTGGGTGGCACAAAAGCAGGCTGTGGGCTGGATTTGGCCATGGACTGCAGTCTGCTGACCCCATGAGGCTTACTCACCTTGGCTGGGGACTTCTGGACGTGAAGGCGGCTCGGTGGGCAGGGGACTGGTGGTGGGAGTCAGGGTAGAGCTGGTGGTGGCCGGGTCTGAGGTAGGGGCGCTGGGGGCCAAGTCCACTCCCTCTGAGGACCTGGGCTTAGCCTCGTCCTGCTCCGCGGAGTTGGGCTCAGATGGCCTGCCCTCCACCTTGGGTGGCAGCAGCTCCAGCCAAGAAGTGCCCTTGAGGGCATTGTCTGTGGAGAGTAGAGCCTGTGCTCACATCCCAGCAGCACCTGCTGCTGCCCAGGTCTCCTCAGGCCCGCAAAGCACCCAGCAGATCTGGGCCATGGGGGAGAGAAGGAGGTCTCCTCAGGGAAGCCCCATACTCCAAGGAAGCGAAAGGCCTCAAAGTGGGAGGCAGAAAGGACTTCACGGTCAGGGCTCCAAGTCCAGTGCTACCATTCCCCTGCTGAGTGGCCCCAGCCAAGGCCCCCTATCTCGCTGGGCCCCTTTGTGAGCTGAGAGTAATAAGAATGAGCCCACCGCATGAGGCTGTTATGTTATTAGAAAAAATGTCTATAAAACATTTTCACAGATCCCAGCAAGTAGTTGGTGTCAAATAGGAGATCCTTTTGCTACCTACATGTCAAGCACTTTGTACCAATTCTTTCATTTCCCAGATTCAATACAGAAGGCAGAAACCCTTGATCCTATTTTACAGGTTTTCTTCTAATTCCTCTCCCCTGGAAAGTGTGGCCGCTACCAGTATCAAATGTGACGGCTTTTGTGAAAGTACTCAGAAAACTGTGACATCAGGGACAAAGGAACTGTGTTGTTGTTACTACGATGGTGTGGCCCCCAGGGACCACCAGGTCAGCTCAGGGAGGGCTCAGAGACACCTTGACTTGAGGACAATGACTTGACTTCCTCTTTTTTCCTCCCTGCTGGACTTCCTCTTTGCACAGGGCTTTAGCCAGGCCCTGTTGTGGGGAAGCCCCAAGAGCCTGGGCACTAGCAGGGATAGGGCTGTCCCTCTGGTCCGGGGGAGCCACAGGGGAACCTGGCCTCAGCAGCCTGCCAGGACAAGACCCTTGTTCCCATAGGCCTTTCTGGCAGAGTCAGATGCCTGCAGCTGTTCCTGGGCAGAGCCCCAGTCAGGGGTCAGAGGTTCTGTGCTCTGGCCGGGCTAAGTTGGCAGGACTTGGGCCAGCAGCTGGTACCAGAGGCTGGGGGAAGAGGCCCCTGAGTTCTGAGATGCCAAGAAACAAGGAGACTCCTGACAGAGACAGTTCCATCTAACTATTTCACCTTCCTGCCCCCTTGCACAGGGGCAGAGGGCTTCACTGGAGGAGGAGTTAGCAGGACCTAGGAAGAGGAGAAGTAGGTTTGGGATATCCCTCGGGGACATCAGAGGAGAGCAGGTGTGTGGGGAGGGTCTCAGAGGAAGAATCCAGAGCCACAACCAGCAGGGATGACTGAGAATTTGGGGTATCTCGGGACTTCTGTCTCTTGTTTCTCGGCTAATTACTTTGTTGCGCTTCCCTGTGATCCAGCAAGGAGCTGCAGGAAATACAAGAGTATGTGGTCTCTTCTTCAGGGATATAAGAAGTGGGAGGAGCTGGAGAGGCTAGTCTGAAAATGAGAGGTGCCCCAAAGGCCCCATGTCATTTCCCAGGAGCCCTGTGTCCTGCCATCCCCACCTGTGGCAGATACCTGTTCACAGCTGTTTCCCACTAGACGGTGAGTTCTGTGGGGGCAGGGATTGTGTCTATACTGTTCCCTGTCACCTGTGCACAGCAGACCTTTGTCCATCTTTGAATGGACAAAGAAGTTCAATGAAAGTGAAGACAGCTCTAAATACTGGAAAGCAACTAAGTGGCCCTGCATGTCGGTTCTGTCATTCCACCCCAACAATCCCATGAATAGGGTATTATCCCCATGGTGTGGATGAACAGAGGACACCCAATGGGTAACTGACTTGTGGAAGTGAAATCTGGGGCAGTCTCACTGCAGAGAAGATGAGAGGATGCCTGGGAGATGTCTGCCCATCAGCAAGCCCCCACTCCCCAGGGTCCCCATTCCTCTTCCCAACTTACCAGCCACAGCCTCGGCCACCTCCTGCTTGCCTGCCTTGTAGTAGGTGAAGCCCCGGATCACAGCTTGCTGCTGGGCCAGGGCCCGGGGCTTGGCTGTGGGCTGGGGAAATCTGACCTTGCTGCTCTCTTTCCTCAGCTTCTCCACCTTCAGCAGCTTCTCCTTAGGTTTTGGGAGGCCTCTGTCAACAAAACTCTTCTGCACACTACCATATTTGTGGGTATCCTTGCCTTTCCCTCCAGCTGTGTCCTGGGAGAAAAGAGACATCTTAGACTTGAGGGACGGTAGAAGGGATGATGTGGGTTCGTGGGTACCAAGGGGACTCAGCATGTGGGGGCCAGAAGTGCTCATGTTGCTGCAGGCCCTGCATCCCAGGTGCTCATGAAGTCACAGTTTGCCTTACCCCCCCCCACGGTGGCTATATCTGTGACTGGTTTGCCTCAGTTTCCCCACTCAGCTCTTTTGCTCCCTTGTTGGATTAAAGCCCAAGCTGACAGGTTAGATTCCTGTCTCATTTCCCAACTCCAGCCCACGCTTCCCCATGGGTTAGAAAGGTCAGCTGGGTGGGGTGAGGGAAGCATCACCTGCTGCTCAGTTCCCTAGCCTTGGCTCTGTGACTCGCATGCCCACTAGCATGTAGGCAGGGTAGAAGTTCTTGGGCCCCTAGTCAGAGTGACCAACATATCCCAGTGTGCCTGGAACCTTTCTAGTTTTAGCACTGAAAGAGCTGCATCCTGGGAAACCCTTCAGTCCTAGGCAAACTGGGACAGTTGGTCATCCAACCTCTAAGACATGCAGTTTCTTTTTTTGTTTGTTTGTTTGTTTGTTTGTTTTGAGTTGGAGTCTCACTCTGTCACCCAGACTGGAGTGCAGTGGCCGCTCCCGGCCACCGCAGCCTCGACCTGCTGGGCTCCGGCGATCCTTCCGCCTCAGCCTTCCAAGTAGCTGGAACTACAGGCACGCGCTACCACGCCCGGCTAATTTTTGATTTATTGTAGAGATGAGGTCTCGCCTGCCCAGGTGGGTCTTGAACCCACGGGCTCAGGCAATCCACTACTCACCTCAGCCTCCCAAAGGCGCGGGATTACAGGTTGAGCCACCGAGCCCAGCTAAAGGGAGGACTTTTATCCACTTTGCACAAAGGTGTGCTATCTGCCACAGGTGGCTCTGCTGAGTGATGGAGCCAGTGCCTCTGCTCACTCAGTGCCGTGAGATGGAATGTCTGGGCGTTTGTGGCAGAAGTTTTCCATCCCAGGTTGTGTTGGATGAGTAGGTATTGGTCTGCAGGGGTCCTCTGCAGAGGTAGGCATTGCCCACACATCCCTGAGCAGGCCCAAACCAGCCAGGGCCCAGTCACAGTTGGGGATGTGAGAAGCGGTTTTGCTGTAGCTCCCCTGGTCTCACAGGGCCAGCAAGGGAGGGTCAACTCCACTTGTCCTCACTAGTTTGGAAACTTGAGAATGTGAATATTGCCAGGCACATGGCTTAGGGACCAGCCCCCTTGCCTGGATCCCCAGCTCACCTGTGCTAACTGCTTGCCACATAGCAGGCACCCCTTGCTTCTCACCCTGCCAGGGACTCTCCAGCCATCCAGGCCTCAGCCCTGTCCTGTGGCCCCAAACCTTTACTGAGCCCTGGCATGCTGAGCTCCCCAAGTCCAGCCACCTTCTGACCCTGTGATCAGAGCCAGGTCTTACCTGAGCCTTGCTGCCAGGGCCCACGACTGGGGCGGTGGCGGGGGCAGCGGCCGCATCCTTCTGCAGCAGCTGGAGGCCCAGGTTGGACAGTTCTTTCTTGATGCTCATCATGATGGCTGAGTGGTTCTCGTAGTGCCGCAGCTGCTCGCTGAGATGGCGCATGCTTTCCTTCACCACCTCATTCTCCTGGCTCAGGTTGGCCTTGATGCTCTGTGGGGTTGGGATTTGAGATCTTTCCTGGGCCAGCTTCCTCTGCACCACCAGCCTGAGGGACACCCCAGCCTTGGCCCTCAGGACTTGCTGTCTAGTCTCCAGAGCAGGCTAGGGGTGGCTCCAGTGAGCATGAGTGAAACAAAACATGCTCGAAGAGACCCTGTTATTATCCATATTTTCCATTTAAAAAGCAAAGGAATGAAAAAAAATTGATAAAATCTGCATAGCACTAAGTTTTAAAGATATAAAGGGCATAAAAATATATCTCCTAGCCGGGCTCGGTGGCTCAGCCTGTAATCCCACGCCTTTGGGGCTGAGGTGAGTGGATTGCCTGAGCCCGTGGGTTCGAGACCCGCCTGGGCAGCGAGACCTCATCTCTACAAAAAATCAAAAAATCAGCCGGGCGTGGTAGCGCATGCCTGTAATTCCGGCTACTCGGAAGGCTGAGGCGGAAGGAACTATAGGTGTACGCTACCATGCCCAGCTAATTTTTGATTTATTGTAGAGACAAGGTCTTGCCAAGTTTCCCAGGCTGGTCTCAAACCTGCAGGCTCACGTAATCGACTCACCTCAGCCTCCCAAAGTGCTGGGATTACAGGCTGAGCCACTGAGCCCAGCCTGGTGCTCCTTTTAATATATTTTCAATGGCCACACAGAATGCCATTGCATGGGCAGGCCTTTGTTTATTTAGCCAGGCCCTTATTGATGGTCATTTAAGTTGCTTCCAATGACCTGTTGGGTACAATGTGCCTGACAGGTCATTGGAAGACATAGGTACACTTAAAGCCCAGACTTCTTTGCCACTGTACACGCAACCATGAAACCAAAACCTATTTGTACCCCCTAAAGCTATTGAAAAAATACAATAAAATGTTGGTTCTAATCTCTTGCTACCTTAAAATTATTTTTTAATTTTATAAGTAATACATTAAGACATTAATGCCCTCTTTTTATAAAATACTCAATCAGCATCAATGGAGTGACACTCTCTAGGGTTTTGCAGTGGGGAGTCTCTGCTCCCTCCTAGTCTCCAAGACTAGCTTTTCTTCTGGGCTGTGCTGGCTCTCATCAGCCCAGCTTGTTCTCCCGGCCCCTGCCCTTGCTGGTCTCCCTCGCAGCTCCCACCTGACCCCCAGATCTCCTGCTGGTTCTGAATCCTGCAGGGAACATATAGGCTGCTCAGAACCGTGATGCTCCTTGCTCTGTGGACCCCCCCATTAACTAGGGATGCCCCTTGCTGGGCTGTCGCCTAGGCTGGTCTTGTCCACTGGGCAGGACTCAGGAATCCTGTGGCCTGGCAGTTATCAGTCCCAGGACCATAAAGCCCCCCAGGTCTACAGCATGTATGGGATTCCTTCATCTGAGTCTACTTCTCAGCTAATGCAGGAAGGACTGCAGTCAGATGCAGGGAGCATCTCTTTGCTGAGAAACCATGAAGCAGCAGAATTATGAGTTCAGAATCTCATTCCTAGAAATAGTTACAGAGAGCTGGGTGTGGTGGCTCACACCTGTAATCCCAGCACTTCAGGAGGTCAAGGCAAAAGGACTGCTTGAACCCAGGAGTTTGAAACTAGACTGGGCAACAAAGTGAGATGCTGTCTTCACATAAAAATTAAAAAAATTAGCTGGGCATGGTGATGTGTGCCTGTAGTCTCAGCTTCTCAAAAGGCTGAGGCAGGAGGATTGCTTGAGCCCAGGAGTTTGGGGCTGTGGTGAGCAGAGATTGTGCCACTGCATTTGGCCAGGCCAATACAGACCCTGACTCAAAAAAAACAAAGATAACCTAAAAGCAATTTATGTCCAGTCTGCCCTGGGTGACTCAGATTCAGGGACCAAGAGGCAGCAAACATGAGTCAGGTTCAAATCCTTGCTTTCCACTTACTGGCTAGGTAATCTTACTGGCTAGGTAACTTCTCTAAGTTTCAGTTTTCTTGCCTGTAAAATAAGGGTCCTCATCATCATAACAGTGAAATTGCACGGTCACTGTGAGGACCAGAAAGGCTAAGGAACATGCAAGTGCATTTTAAGCTAGATCCCAGGGATGATGGGCAGATTTTCTCAATTTCAGCACGATTGACATTTGCTAGATAGTTGTTTGTTTTGGGAGACTGTCCTATGCATGGTGGGGTGTTCAGCTGATTCTCTGGTTTCTACCCAGTAAAAGCCAATAGCATTCATCCTGTCCTCCGCCTAACTTGTGATGACCAACAATGTCTATTGCCAACTGTTTCCTTAGGGGCAAAGTCACCCCTGCTTGAGCACCATTGATATAAAGGAAGAGAAAAGAGAGAAGCTGGGACTCTAAATTGCTGCCTGACCCCCTGGGAAGTTTTTCCTGTGACAGAGGGACCTGGTATCTCCTGAGGCTGTCCTCTCTGCCTCCTCTCAGGGGGAGCACAAAGCTGTTTTTCCTTTTTCTTTTTCCATAGGGTTATCACTTAGTAAGCCATGATTAACAGAAGCAAAGCACTGATAATGCAAGACAGAAGATAATCAAAAACTCATTTATCTGTGGCTGTGGAAATCATTTCTGGTTTGTTCCAGACCCAGCAGATGTACTCTCCAGATCGTCTGGCTCAGAGTTACATGAAGTGGGTTAACATTTCCTGAGATTACAAGAGGAAAGATCAAAGGAGAATAACTTCAGAGCAGCAGTGGGAGAGCCTGGCTTGTACAAGGTGCATGGGAAATACTGGCACTCAAAAAGAAATTCAATGAATGTCAGCTTTCTCTCATATTGGCATGGGCTTGGTCAGCACTAGGTACTTACTGAATACTTTTTGAATGCTTAAAGCCACTGTGACTTCAACTTCATGGTTACTAAGGGGTTAATATCCCACCCTGGGGCACAGGATGCCCAGGTGCCCCCTCCCTTTATAAAGGAAGCTGGGGAAGGAAGCCCCCACGCCCGCTCCTGGCAGCTGCATGTCCCCAGACTCCCAGAGGCCCAGCAGAGGCCGGATGCAGGAAACAGGCGGAGGCTGGGCTGTGCCAGCAGAGGCAAACCTCGAACCTGCCGCCTGGACCCCTACACTCACCCAGCTCTGTCTCTGTCCCCAGGGGTCAGTCCCAGCTACCTTCCCAGCCCTACAGCACACTCACCCTGTTCAGGACAGGACACTCCACCATAGCTTGGTACTGGAACAGTCATGCTGCCCTGAGCCCGCCCTCGTGGGCTTGGCTAGTCCTGCCGTGTTGCAGCAACCAGGGAGCACCACTGACAGGGTATTTTATATGAATGGTGCCCTTGGAGTTGGGCAATGTGTGGCCCCTGACTCTGGTGCACTAAGGGCAACTGTGAGTTCCAGCTCCCTCTACACGCCTTCCACACAACCAGCAGGTGCCTCGGTTTTTCCATCTGGCCTTCTAACTTGAGCCTAGGGAGACCTCTTCCCACAGGCTGTACCTTGTGGCCTGTACCTCCTGTCCCCAACTCCCTGCTAGAGTCCAGCTTCCAATGGCCACCGGGGTCAAGCTGGAAGTGCTCAGGCCCTTTGGATATGGCCCTCATCCCCCTGCAGGGCACCAGCTGGCCTCTTGTGGGAGCCCGGCCCTTACCTCTTCCAGTGTGTTCATCTGGGAGGCCACCTTGTGGATGTAGGCGTGTACTTTCATCAGGTCCATGCTGTACAGGGTGCCCTCCAGAAGATCCACCATGGACTGTAGCTGCCCGGGGAAGGGGGACACTTAGGCAAAGGACTCAGCATGTAGTCGGCAGAGAGGCTGTAAGAGGAACCCCACTACAAGCAGGAACTCAGAACCCCAGAGCCCCAAAATAGCCTGCTTGGGCCCTCAGTGTATTCTAGCCCCAGCCTGCTAGCATTCATCTTTTGATCTCTTGTCACGTGCCTGAATTGTTGCAATAACCCTTGGGGTGCATAATGGGCACTGGCGGAGCTTGTCCAGATCCTGTGGGATGTCCCTTCCTGTTTCTTGTGCCCATCCCTGGCTTCCATGTGCTGGTACTTGTGACCCTCTTAAGAGCTGCTTTGCCCCTGAAATGCAATGGCCAACTGCTGTGGGCATCCACAAACCCAGCTCCCCAGCCCGTTCTCACTCCAGAGCTCCCCAGGGTTATAGCTGAGGCTGTCGGTCTGCCTGAGTCCACATCCTTGCTGAGCTCCCTCTCTCCCCACCAACTTCTTCCACTTCATTGCCAGTTTCTCTGGGGGGCCTGTTCATAATAAATCACTGGCACATGAATCTCTGGTTCCGGGGCCTGCTTCTAGTGACCCAGCACAACCCAAGGTAAGGACAACTTTTATCTTCATTTTGCAGACTGAGAAGCTGCAGCTTAGAGAGGGGAAGTGACTTGCCCAAGGCCACCCAGCTGTTTAATGGTGAAGCCAGGAGCAAAACCTAGATTCGTATAAACCCCAACCTCTTTCCTATCATGCTTTACTGCTCCTGTCTTGTGTTCAGGTGGGACAGAGGCCAAGAGAGGAGAGGGCCTCATATAACAGGTCAGTGGCAGGACCTGCAGCACATGCTGACTCTCCCTTGCCTAGTCCAGGGCTCTGCCCTACAGCTGCCCCTCCCCTTCTCTTTTCTGTCTCGCCTCCTCAGGATATGACACTCCCTCCAGATGGCCATGATGTCAGAATGTCAGGGTGACGTTGGCACAAGGGGCCACTTGGGAAATCGGTCTTCCCCAGCTCCTTGGGAAGGGCAGTTCCTCCAGCCCACCTTCCCACACAGCCCCACTCTTAGCCCCACAGCATTCCTCAGGTCAGTGCAGGCCAGTGCTCCAGCCCTGGCTGGCCCTTTCCAAAATGATTTTACTCCCATTTTCCCAGGGGGTATTCAAGCAATTTTAAGCCAGAGAGTTTTTCTCCAAGTGGAGGCTGAGCTCTAAAACAGAGAGGCGGGCGAGAGGTTCTGCTGGAAGCAAGGGTAGCCCAAGAGGCTTCTCTGCTCCCCCACAACCTCACTTTGGCTGCACAGGGCCCTTAGAGCTCTGTGGATCACAGTTTGAGAACTATGCCCATAGCTTCAGTTTCCTTCACTGAGAAATGGGGCAACAGGGTCATGGTAAGGAGTGGTAACATCTGGACAGAGCTTAGCACAAAGTGGACACACAGCTAGGGCCCTGTGAGAACAATGATCACAACTCCAGGGCGCTAAATGGGAAACTCCCAGCTTCACTTTGCTGCCTTTGTGGCCACTGAAACTGGCTTTGGTGAGGGTCTTTCCCCTGCTAGATAATGTTCCGTGGCCACCGACTGTCCATCTGGGGCGTTTCATCTCCCTGGCATTTGAACTCTCCATGATATGCCCTAGCCGCCCTCTTCAGGCTCAGCAGGTGCTTACTCCAGACCAGGCACTGAGGATAGTGATGTACAAGACAAACATGGGCATCATGGTCCTCCACAGCTGTCAAGGACACACACAGTGATACACCAGTACCAGCTCAGGGGGCACAGACAGTGATACACCCAGTGTCCAGATCAGGGAACACAGACAGTGACACGCACAGGCACCCAGATCAGGGGACACAAGCAGTGACATGCAGGCGCCCAGGTCAGGGGACACAGACAGTGACACACAGGTGCCCAGATCAGGGGACACAAGCAGTGACACGCAGGCGCCCAGAGCAGGGGACACAGACAGTGACACACAGGCGACCAGATCAGGGAACACAAGCAGTGACATGCAGGCATCCAGATCAGGGGAAACAGACAGTGACACGCAGGTGCCAAGATCAGAGGACACAGACAGTGACACGCAGGTGCCCAGATCAGGGAACAAAGACAGTGACACACAGGTGTCAAGATCAGGGGACATAGACAGTGACACGCAGGTGTCCAGGTCAGGGGACAGAGACAGTGACATAGAGGTGCCAAGAACAGGGGATACAGACAGTGACATGCAGGTGTCCAGGTCAGAGGACAGAGACAGTGACATGCAGGTGCCCAGATCAGGGGACACAGACAGTGACACACAAGCATCCAGATCGGAGGACACAAGCAGTGACACGTAGGCGCCAAGATCAGGGGTCACAAGCAGTGATACACAAATGCCCAGATCAGAGCATAGACAATGACACACTGGCTCCCAGATCAGGGGACACAGGCAGTGACACGCAGGCGCCCAGATGAGAGGATACAAGCGGATACAAGCAGTGACACGCAGGTGCCCAGATCAGGGGACACAGACAGTGACACATAGGCACTCAGATCAGAGAACACAAGCAGTGGCACGCAGGCACCCAGATCAGGGGACACAGATATGCAGGAACTCAGATCAGTGGAAAACAATGACACAGCAGTGCCCAGATCAGGGAACACAGCAGTGGCACACTAGCTCTCAGATCAGGGGATACAGGCAGTGACACGCAGGCACCCAGATCAGAGAACCTAGATCAGGGGACAGACAGCGACATGCACGTTCCTAGATCATTACCGATGGGGTGTTGCTGACCTTGTCTGGGTGCAGGTATGGATAAGGAAATTCTGCCAAGAGAAAGTGTTTCAACAGAGCTCTGTAGGAGGGGCACAAATTAGGCAAAAATGTTCAGGAAAGGACATTCCTAGTAAAGGGAACAGCTTGTGCTAAGAGCTGGAGGAGTGAGGAGACATGGTGTTTTCGAGCCCTGCTACTCAGAGTGTGATCTTCAGATCAGTGCTGGTTCAAACTGCTCAAGGTCAGTCTGTGATAAAATCATTACAGAAAATGAGATAGGTTTTTAGAAACATGTGTAGTCAGAGCAATTTTCTATCTGTTGACTCTTGCAATATAACATTGGACTTATTTTTATATTTTGCATGTCTGTTTTTGTTTCATTCCACTTTTCTAATAATTAATTTGTATTTATGAAAGTATTGTTTCTTGACAGATACAAATTTTGAAAAGCTGGTCCTTCACCACAATAGGATGAGAAAGCACTGTGTTAGAGTAAGTGACAGGTGCCAGTAGCGCAGGAGCAGAGAGAAGGCAGGGAGGCATCTTGTGCCACATCCACCCCACTTGCTCTCACATAGAAAGCCCTCATTTCGTCTCTGTCTGATAGACTCCTACACATCCTTCAAGGCCCAACTCCATTATTCTACCCCCTCCTTGGGGCTTCCAAGGTCCCTGGAATGTCCCTCAGCTTAGCACTTCTCACACTGCCATTACTGGGGTCAGCCGCTGTGTCCTCACCAGCATGGGGACTCCTCAAGGGTAGGGCCATGTCTGGTCCCATCCAGAAGAAAAAGGAGTGGAGAGGTGAGGGCATGCCCCTACACAAGGTGAGGACAGTAGCCATGCTATTAAAAGTGTGGCTCTCCAGGCTGGGTGTGGTGGCTCATGCCTATAATCCCAGTATTGTGGGAGGCCAAGGAGAGAGGATTGCCTGAGCTCATGGGTTTGAGACCAGCCTGGACACAACTTGGTGAGACCTCATCTCTGCAATAAATAAAAAAATTAGCTGGGCATGGCGGCACGTGCCTATAGTTCCACTACTTGGAAGGCTGAGGCGGAAGAATCACCTGAGCCCAGCAGGTTGAGGCTGCGGTGGCCATGAGCATGCCACTGCACTCCAGCCTGGGTGACAGAGTGAGACTCTGACTTAAAAACAAAAAAAGTGTGGCTCTCCTACCACAGCCTGCAGCTGAGGCGAAATCACAGTTGGAGTTATTAGCTTGAGGGGCAGGGCTGGGTGAAGATGGGGGCAGGATATAGGGCAGCCGCCCCATCTTGCAGGCTCCCCTCAGCCCCCTCCCTCGGGGTATGTCTACAGAGATGTCCTGCTGAGGGAGAGGGAGCCAGATGGTACAGGAGAAGCCCAGCCCTGTTTCCTACTGCCTACTTCCTCTTGGAGGTCTCTGAAGGGTACCCAACCCTGTCTTGAGGTATCGGTGAGGCAGCATATCCTCCCCTCTTCCTCCAGCTTCACCTGCTGAGTCAATCCCATCGTTACCCTTGTCTAGTTCTGTAAGGCTGAATCAAGACCCCCATGGAGACTATGCGCCAAAAAGCCTAGGGGACTATTTGCTCCTGGCTGGAAGGCTGCCTAGTGACCCCGTCAGTGGGCAAGGGATGCCATGGAGAACTCCTGGGTTCAACTCTTAGTACTGCTCCTTAGCTCACAAAGAAAGTCACAGTCACTCTCTGGGCCTCAGGCCCCCCTACAAGTAAAGCTAACATCATAAGTTCCTTCTCAAAAGGATTGTAACAAGAATTAAATTAGCCAGCATTTATGAAAGGACCTTGTATGTCCTCATGTCAAGCACATTTACAATTCAGTTACTGAGAAACTGACTTGAGTAGAAACTGGGTTTGTTCCTATAACTGAAGACTGGCCTGAGGACTAGGTGTCTGGAGTCCGCAGGACCCTAGTGAAGCCCCAGGGTGACATGATGGTCCAGGGACTGTCAGGTTGTCAAGAGGCCACTAGGCCTAAAATTCACCTCCCTCCCCAGTTTAGGGAGTTTTGGCATCCATTCAGGTGTTACAAAAATAAAACTAGAGTTGAATTGAGAGAAAACATTTTAAGCCACATGTTGGGAGACAATTCTTCACAGGCCTCTTGCTCTTCTGCCTGTGTTACACGCAGAGGCACTGTCTTTGTTCTGGGCCATCTAGCTGTATCGTGAACAGCCCTGGAAGACAGAGATGGCATTTCCCTCCAGAAGAAATAAAAGATGCAGATTCTCTAGGCTCGGGGCTCCTCACTGTAGCACACCTACTGTGTGTGCAGATGTGAGCTGTCCATCACTGTGTCACCCCATGGGAGTTGGAGCTGGGAAAACCAGTGCAAGAAAATGTAGATTTGCTATGAGTAATAAAGTCCTTTGTCATTGATCCAGGATGCTGTACCTATGAAACTGGCAGGCTAACTTGTTAGCTTACAAGTAGAGTAACATCTCAGACTTTTCACAGTTTTGAACACCAGATATAGGTTTGAAAGAAATTATAAAAGAAAAAGATACTTTCAAGAGACACCAAGCAATCTGGTCAAGAGAGCAGGGTGGTTTAGAACACATGCTTTGCACATAGCTGGACCTGGGTTCAAATCCCAGCCTCACCAGGTCCACTGAGCGACCTGGTTGAGATGGTACAAATGGTCCAGAGGTGTATGGCCAGCTGTGATGATCAAGGTCTAGTGTACACGCACCTAACCAAGCCATGAGTCCTGGTGGTGGGCCTTGGCATGGGACTGTGGCTCCCAGAGGTGGTGTTTCTTTCCAATCTGTCTATGGGAGGGTGGGCTTTTTAAATTTCACACAGAGTATGGGACAGACTTGAGGCTGCCTGTCATTATGTGAGCTTGGGCAAGGTAACTAACTCCTCACAACTTCAGTTTTCTTGCCTACAAAATGAGGATAATGATCCTGTATTTCACAGAATGGTTTAAGGATTCAGAGAAATAATGTATAAAAGGGGCTTAGTTCTGCATCTGGCATACAGGTTGGTCCTGAGCACAGGAAATGTTATTAAATAAAAAACAATAAAAGACCATGAAACCTAAAATACAGATAGGTGCTAACAGATGAACTGGCTTGGGTGAAATACAGGACACTAGAACAGACAGCAAGGGGCTCTCTTGAGGTGACTAGGCAAAGAATCCCTCCTCATTTACTGGTTGAACAGTCTTGGGCAAGAAGTAGCTTCCCTAGGAACCCTCAGTTTCCTCATCCATGAAATGGAGTGGCAGCAGCACCTGCCTCACAGTGTGTGGGATTTTCACTAGAAGGTCAGACTCGTACTCACAACAGGCACTGGCTCAGACCCCTGGCCCCTCAAGCCTACCTTGAGGAGCTCGGGTGCCTGCTTTTTGAGTTTCTCCATCTTCCACTCGTTCTCACAGGGGTTGAGCGAGGAGGGCGGGGCTGTGCAGGAGCAGCGGCAGTCAGTCCCGGAGCTCACGGTCTCCACCGTGTAGAAGTCCTCCACCCGTGCCTGTCCGCTGCGAACCCTGCTGCATGCATCCTTGCTCAGCGGCCGCATGATGCACTTGCAACGGCAGTCGGAGCCCTCTGAGGTCATGCGTACCTGGTCCATGTCGCCAAACACCTGGGGTGGCCAGAGAGCTCCAGTGAGTTGCTAGCCAGCACTGTGGCGGAGAGAGAAGAGACTGACCAGGGAGGAGTAGTTAGAGGTGGTGGAGAAGGGAGCAACCTTTTCAGGGAGAAGTCTTATCATGATAACAGTGAAAATATGAACGGCTGTTGTGAAAGTCTGGTTGCTCCTCTATGAGTTAAACATGAATTACCACATGACTCAGTAATTCTACTCCTGGGTACACACCCAAGAGAACTGAAAACAGGTATCCCAACGAAGACTTGTAGCAGAATGTTTGTAGCAACATCACTCACAATAGGCTCAAGGTAGAAACGGTCCAAATGTCCATCAACTGAATAAAGTGTGGTATATAGACACCATAGAATATTATTCAACCTTAAAAAAGGAATGCAGTGCTGATCCACGCTACAATATAGGTGAACCTCGAAACATTACGCTAAATGAAAAAAGTCAGCCACAAATGGCCTCATATTGCATGATTCCATTGACATGAAATACCATATGCAGAACAGGCAAACCCATAGAGACAAAGCAGGTTAGTGGCTGCCAGGACTTAAAGGGAGAGGGAAATGGGGAGTGACTGCTTAAAGGGAGCAGTTTCTTTTTGGGTGATACAAATGTTCTGGAATTAGATAGTGATAGTTGCACATTGTAATGTACCAAATACCACCGAGTTGTACCATTTTTTTTTTTTTTTTGAGTTGGAGTCTCACTCTGTCACCCAGGCTGGAGTGCAGTGGCCGCTCCCGGCCACTGCAGCCTCGACTGAGTTGTACCATTTTTTTTTTTGAGTTGGAGTCTCACTCTGTCGCCCAGACTGGAGTGCAGTGGCCGCTCCCAGCCACTGCAGCCTCGACCTGCTGAGCTCCGGCGATTCTTCCGCCTCAGCCTTCCAAGTAGCTGGAACTACAGGCGCGCACTACCTTTTGATTTACTGTAGAGATGAGGTCTCACCAAGTTGCCCAGGTGGGTCTCGAACCCGCGGGTTTAGGCAATCCACTCACCTCAGCCTCCCAAAGCGTGGGATTACAGGCTGAGCCACCGAGTCCGGCTGAGTTATACCATTTTAAATGGTAATTTTTGCCGTGTGTATTTCTTACAATAATAAAAAATATGGAGACCTTTTATTGAGCACTTACTACATCCTAGGTTTCTCGTGTTATGCTTTTTAATGATATCTCTCTGTGTGTTGGGGGTAATATTGTTATCTCCAAAGTCCTTACCATGGCCTTCAAGGCTTATGAGAGTTGATACTCTCCCTTCAACCGCTCCTTATTGCCCTTCCCTTCCAATGGTGTACTCCACTCCAGCCTCAGGGCCTTTGCATGTGTCTTATCCCTTTGATATTCACTCTCTCATATCACTTCTCTTTTCATGTCACCTCTTCTGAGAAGCTTTGCCTGACCACTCACCCCTTGCTAGTCTTTAACTAGCCCCTTATCTAGTGGTTGTGTTTTCTTTATTGCACCTATTAGCCATGTGAAATATAATTGCATTTGCTTATTTTCCATCTCCCCTTCTCCACTATGGGTATCACTATAGGTAGGGAATTTGTCTAATTCCTTCATCTCCAGAACAGTGCCTGCCTGGCCTATAGTAGTTGCTTACTAAGTATTTGTTGGATAAACTAGCCTGCATTTTGTAGATATGGTAGAGCACAGGGTTAAAAACACAGTGTCTAGAACCTGGATAAGACTGTGGGCAATGCAATCTATCTGTGTCTCTGTTTTCTTATCTGTAAAATGGACTCCTGCCTTGTGGGATTCTTATGAGGATTAAATGAGTTAATAAAAGCCAGGCTCGGTGACTCAGCCTGTAATCCCGCGCTTTGGGAGGCTGAGGTGAGTGGACTGCCTGAGTCCACGGGTTCGAGACCCGCGTGGGCAACTTGACAAGACCTCATCTCTACAATAAATCAAAAAAATTAGCCGGATGTGGTAGTGTGCACCTGTAGTTCCAGCTACTTGGAAGGCTGAGGCAGAAGGATCGCTGGAGCCCAGCAGGTC